GGTTCTTCCTGTCTAACCGCTATCAGAAAGTCATGCTTGGTAATAGCTACTCCACGCCTCACGCGATCACGAGTGGCATGCCTCAAGGCACAGTTCTGGGTCCGCTACTCTTCCTTTTTTGCATGAATGATATTTCGATTGAACTCAGAAATTCGCAAACTGAGTCACTGATGACCCCAAGTGTGTTTGCTCTTATTCTAAGGATACCACAGAGGTTTGTCTTGAAAAAATTAAAGCTAATTTACTACGCTAAAGCAGATGGAGTTTTCATAATCCAAATATAGTTTCATGCCATTTGGTCCTGTCAGGCTTCCAGGTCCCATACTTTTTCTGAAAAACCCTCTCAAGATGCTTTATCGCAAAGGACCTGGGTTTAAGTTATGCAAATAAACTTGCTTTACCACTTCATGCAGCTGGTATCTCTGCCAAAGCCGCACAGATATGTGGGTTCATATCACGTAATATTTTCCTTCCGGAAATGAGGCTAAGTACTTGTCAAATGTTTGTCCTTCTTATCCTCGAGTACCGCTGTCCTTTTATTTTGCCTAATGAACGCCTCTTTGTGAAATAACATCGAAAATTTTCAGAGGATTTTCGCCCGGGAGCTCTTTTCTCATGCGGCATCTCACACTTCTTATACTCAGAGATTTCAGCTAGTGAACGCTAAGTTTCTGTCGATTAGAAGACTAGAAGTTGGCCTTTGCTTCCTTTATCGCATTAACTCTAGTCTCGATCTTCCGCGCATTGATGCTCTCACTCTGAGGGATCGGTCCTGCGCCACGCGCCATCCCTTCATAGTGATTCCGCCTCCCTTTCGTCCTACATCTAAACGTTCCCTTTTTGCTTCCAAATATGCCTTACTTTGGAATAATCTTCCACTAGAAATTAGGTCACTGCCTAAGTTATCGGCATTCAAATAGAAATTGTGCAGGCAACTTACACCGGAAAGTCTAAAATCGCTATTGGCCATTTTATTCCCGAACCCTCAACTTCTGGACTTCGAGAAGAGTAATAAAGGAGAAATCCTCACTCATATTTTTACAATCCCCTGTTTTTAATTGACCGCTCAATCCGCCGTTATTACCTTTTCCCTGTTGCTGTGATTTGTGCGGTCCTTGATGCCATTTCATTTCGACCTCAAACGATCTGTCAACGCTCACGGCGGAATCCTCTGTATTCGCCATCTACTAATACTTTCGCCGGCCAGCAAAGATATCTCATGGTCGTGTCTCCTTTGCCCCCTCCTCAAGTGGACTCAAAACAAACTCCCGCGACCGCATCTGGGTTTCTCTTGTCTAGCCACTTTTACGCGAAAGCCTCATCCGATGTCTGTTTAGAATCCTTATACGCTGCCGCATGCAGGCCGGTCCTGTACGGCCTATATGCTTACCCATTCATGAGTGACAATTTTTATACCCTGAAAATGTCCGCTAGAATCCGTTGTACACTACCACATTCAGGCCGGTCCTGCCCGCATTCTTATCCTTTAATGAGCGACAGTTTTTTCCCTTTAAGTTAATCCATTCAAATTCCTATTGTTTATTCGACAAAGGAGTTTTCACTGGTCGCTGATCATTTTTCCTATCAGACTACTCATCCAATAAGCATGCACTGAATACTGTACAGATTCGCACTACCTGTTCTAAAATTGATATGAAAATTTGTTTTTACTTGTTATGACAGGACGCCCAAGGATCTTGAATAAAACGATTTTATTTGTTTATAATTCTTGACTTCTGGTAGACTATTGGTGCCGTGCCAAAAACGCTTCTTTTAAGGAGGATTTTACTGCTTGGACTTAAAATAGGGGATGTTGAAAAGCACAGATATCTGGATATATGGATTACCACAAGTCTGGTGTCGTCAGAATACTGTAAGAAGATGCTCCAGAAGACAACCTGTACGTTGCATCTGACTAGGCGTGAGTTTAGCATATTTCCTCCTGAAATCTTTGGAAGAATTTTTCGCGTCTTCCTGAGAAGTCATCCAAAATACGAAAGGCCAGCAGTTACATCATGGATGATGAGGAACATTGACCTTCTTGAATAGATGCAAAGCACAGCAATATAAATGGTTGAGATCTTACGTATTAGCCGCATCAGGACAGGCTGAATATGCTTGACGTACTCCCTCTATCTAGTGGGCAATTAATTTGTGGCCTGCACTTGACAGTCCGGATTTTCCGTGGACATGGCTATTTGCTGAGACCAGACGATTCCTTAGGTTTGTCTGTACCTCATATCCTCGATCTGGTTGAAAATTCGTGTCATACCTTTAAGAAAACCGTTTTAAACTTGTAAACTCAGTAATGTTATTCAGAGAAATGCCCTCAAAACACGGTGTAAAATGCATGCCCAAGGCGGGATTTGAACCCGGTCCATCGATCGGAGAGACAACCGTCACTACCACTAGGCCACTGACTCGCGCCAACACTGTCAAAAATAATAATACATATTGTATTACGCATGATATTAATGACTGCAGTGTTGGACGTTCTGCTGTCAGACCAATGCCCGTAAAACGCGCAAAAAGTCTAGTGACGTTGGGGGATGTCACATACGACGATGAAATCTGTACCACATGTTTCGGACTCGTCCATAAGTTTTCAAAAATGGAGGGGGAGTTAAAAGGTCTAAAAATGGAGGTAGAAAAGTTAAGGCAGCTTACTCACCACTTACGTGAAGAGAAGAAGCCGACGAATTCGGCAATGCAGAATCCGAAAAAAACATATGCAACCACGGCTTCTTTAGCCATATCAAACGCTGAAACTGACGTCGGTTCGTCCAGGGAACTAGACACAGTTGAATCCCAGTCTCTTAGGCGAGAAAAAGACCAGCCGAAGCGAGCTCAGATAACAAAGAAACATTCCAGAAAAACAACGCGCACCTCTATACGGTCCAAAAAAACGAAGGTCGCCTACGTACACGCAGACCAGCGAAGGAGAACGACCAGGAGGCCTACGAAGGACCGCCAGAGGCTCCCAAATATGTTGAGCAATAAAGATATCGGAACACCTTGTGGACCGAATATTCAGGAGGAGGTTTCGAAAGAAACTGAGGTAAACTTTTTCGACGAACACCTCGGAAACACAGAAGGATGGGTTATCAACAGGAAGATAACTGAATCGTACACGGATCTCAGTTTCGTTAGCCCAATAGCTAGGTTATCCGAAACCAGCGAAACTAGTAAACTGGAGAAGAACGCTCAGTCACTCAAAGGATGTGTGACAACAGCGAGCACTAGGTTCAGTCGCCGGCAAAATGTAGTTATAAAAGGAGTACCCGAATCAACGGCAGCAGTACCAAAGGAGAGAGTTAAGCATGACTTAGACCTTCTTCAAGTGTATGCGAAAACTTTGTTAAGAGACGATGAGTCACTAAGTGTTCTCAAAGCATTCCGAATAGGAAAAAGTCAGTCAGCATCCGGTTCCAATTCCCGGCCTCGACCCCTAAAAGTCATTTTGGAGACTGAAGCACAGGCCCAGCTTCTGTTACAGAGAAAATCATCTCTACGGGGTCAGCATCCTGAAGTTTTTTTTCAGCCGGATTACGAGCCAAAAGAGCGAATGAAATTGAGAGAGCTGATGACGGAGCTGGTAAAGCGGAGAAACAGCGGCGAAACACACCTAAAAATCAAGAATGGACAAATAATTCAGGTCCAAAGGACATTTCTCTGGCCGAAGGCCGTCATTCTGACAGCCTAACCGATGCAAAGGTGCCAACTCCTGAGGCTGCTCGAACCAGTGGCCGCTGTCTAGAAATCTACTACACTAACTGTCAGAGTCTTCTCAACAAGCTAGATGAACTCAGATTACTAGTTTGTGAACAGAAGCCACACATAATTGTCCTAACAGAGACATGGTTGACTGAGGAAATTAGTAGTAGCGAAGTCAGAATTGAAGGCTACCAACTGTTCCGTTGTGACAGATTTCACCGTCGAGGTGGAGGCACAGCTATTTATGTGTCAAATGAAATTGCGTGCTGTCAACGAGAAATATCCGATGGTACGCCCCGAAATTTTGAAATAATTTCATGCAAGATATGCATCAAACAATTACCGACACTGAACCTGTGTGTTGTCTATAGGCCTCCCAGCTCGAATGAAATCGCCGATATGGAATTACTTAGTGTACTGGAGTTGTTATGTAAGCAGGAGAACTTACTACTTCTGGGTGACTTCAACGCTCCAGGAATAGACTGGAACATTCCCCTAACAAACGCCCCGTCCACGTCATTTGACCACAAGCTACTACAACTCTCCCTGAATGAATACCTCATTCAGCACATAAAATTCGGAACAAGAATGAGAGAAGGACAACGATCCAACTGTTTAGATCTCGTTTTCAGTAAAGAAGAAGGACTCATAAATGAAGTTAATCCACAACCTCACTCGGTTTAAGCGATGATATTGCTTTAACCTGCCTGTGCTCTCTCCTATCCAACCAACAACCAAAAATCAAGACGCGCAGAAATATTTGGAAGGGTGACTTTAACGCAATGAGACGCACTCTTTTGGAGGAAACCTGGTTGGTCAACACAGAAGATTCAGACGAATTTTGGCAGTACTTTCGCGGGATTATAGAGCGTCTGATTGATTCCCATTGTCCAATAAAAATGACAAGACCATGTATGCGACCGCCGTGGGTCAATCCGACGACAAAAAAGACCATGAAGAAGAAACAGAGACTCTGGAAAAAGTATTTGCAACTTCGAGATCCAAGGTCACTCGCCGAATATAAAGATCAGCGCAATAAATGCCGCAAAGAAATACGGGTTGCTAGAACTTCTTTCGAGCGTCGACTGATAGCAGAATCCATTACATGTCCCAAGAAGTTTTACGGGTACATCCGCAGTAGGAGGAAACATAGGGACGAAATTGCGTGTCTAAAGGATAGCCTCGGAAACTTATTAGTTGAAGGGTCACAGAAAGTGCGATTACTGTCTCATTTTTTTCAATCGGTTTTTACGGGGGAGTCCTCAGAAGACAATAAGCAGTTTGAAATGGACCGAGACAGCCGGGAGGTTCAAATTCGCAAAAATATTGCCGTCATTGAAACCGTCGCCTTTTCCGTGGAAGAAGTCAGACGCGTCCTCAGTCAAATAAAACTTGATAAGTCTCCTGGACCCGACGGAATTCCCGGGCTAATACTTAAGGAGCTATCAACGGAGCTGTCAAAGCCTCTTTCGACTCTCTTTGAGCTTTCAATGAGAACAGGAAGGCTGCCCTCACAGTTGAAGACAGCTAACCTCGTTCCATTGCATAAGGGAGGCAGCAGGATGACAGCAAGCAGCTTTCGACCTATTAGCTTAACTTGCCTCCCTTGCAAAACGATGGAAGCTATAGTAAAAAACGCTATACAGCAATTTTGTGAAGAAAATAACATCTTGCAGGATTTTCAACATGGCTTCCGGAGAGGACGTTCCTGCCTGTCAAATCTGCTAGCTTGTCTGGAAATCTGGACCAGGGCTCTAGAAGAGGGTTTTGAGGTCGATGTCGTGTACATCGATTTCCGCAAAGCCTTTGACACTGTCCCACACCAACGTCTTCTTCACAAATTGAGCGACATCGGCATCCGGGGAGATCTTCTGAACTGGATTAGGGCGTTTCTGGTTGGTCGGAAACAACGTGTCTGTATCGGGGATGATATGTCAGAATGGGTGAATGTGACCAGTGGTGTGCCGCAAGGCTCAGTTCTGGGACCATTGCTCTTCATCCTTTACGTTAACGACAGCCTTCAGGAAATCGACTGCGGCAAAATAATGTTTGCAGACGACGTTAAGCTCTGGCAAGTCATTAAGGGTCCGAATGATCAGAGATCCCTTCAAGATAATCTGCACCGACTGCAAGCGTGGTCGAAGAAATGGCTTCTAGATTTCAATGTGGAGAAGTGTGCCGTCCTTCATCTGCGTCCAACCAACTCTCATTAAAATGAGAGTCTGAGGACTTATCACCTGAAAGATATAAGGCTCCCCGCAGAATCTTCACAGAAGGATCTCGGAGTTTGGATACAGAACAACCTGAAACCAACACTGCAGTGTCACAAGGCTGCAAAAAACGCCATGGGAGTGCTGCATGCAATAAAAAGGGCTTTCGTAAATTTTGACCAAGACCTTTTTAGGAGAGTTTACGGCACATTTGTTCGGCCCCACTTAGAATATGGCATACAAGCATGGCGGCCATGGCTGGTAATGGACCAAGAATGCCTCGAACGGGTACAACGGCGTGCAACAATGCTGGTAATCGGTCTAAAAAGCCATTCCTACACAGAGAGACTGAATTGCCTTAATTTATTCCCTCTGTGTTACAGGCAGCAAAGAGGTGATCTTATCCTCGTCTACAAGATAATACATGGCCTTGAGTATGGACTTAAATTTGAGGACATGTTTCAGTGGCATCTTTCACCCAATCTTCGTGGTCACTCGATGAAGTTACGGACAACAATGTCCAGGCTGAATCTCCGTTCTGAATTTTTCACGCAGAGGGTAGTGGAGAAATGGAACGATCTCCCTCAGTCAGTCGTGGAGGCTACATCCCTGCAACTCTTCAAGAAACGCTTGGATGATTATTTGTGTCCCCTGTTTTACCTCGACGGTCTGAATCTGAACTAATACCCCTGGTCCCCACAAATATTTCCTCTGAGACAATGCTACTCAAATGAACAAAGTACTGTTTTTATAGTGAATATTTTTTGTTCGTGTACAGTTATTTCTAACGAGCTGACATGTAATCAATAGGGTTTTCAAAGGCTTTGCCTATTATCCTTACCAAATAAACTGAAATAAACTGAATAAACTGAAAAAAGTATGTGGACATCCCAACGAAGTCAAAAGCGAAAGTACGCGATTGGACTATAAAAAGTTTTCCTTCATTTACCATGTGGTTCGACCATGAAACTCGCTAACCTGTGAGGTGGCGACGGCCGACACCATTATGTTCCAGAGGAAACCTGAACACACGTTGTTTGATAAAGACTGTCTTTATAACATAATTTTCGCAGCCGCATTTGTAAAATATTTTATGTCCTCGATCCCTCCGTTTGGAGTCACAGTGAATACTAACACTATATCGTATCGCAAAGTGACCATATTCTAAATGTATGCAGTTTTGTTCAAATGGAAATATGTGAAACCGTTGTATATAAATAAACCTATCAAGGGCTCTGCCTGAAGCCCTTCAAATATATACCTCGGTCATCGATTTAGACGATGATCAACTTGTGCTTCGCGGCAGACTGAGAGCAGGGACTGTGATTTGGATGTGAATTAGCCATTAGTGATAGTAGACTTTTGCAACATCTACTATGCCCTCCCCTCTCCTCTCACTTGGGCCCGGTCTCAAAACAGAGTCAAGAAAACCAGAGGTGAGAAAGTGCGCAGGTGCCTGGCATGGCGAAAACCCGCCTTTTGGCATTTCGCCAACTCCCCTTGTTTAAAACGTACACTAAACACGATTTGATACCACAACGAAGGCATCATCCGAAAGATTTCTGCAGCATTCGTACGGCCACGCTTGGAATACAGCATACAAGTCCGGAAATCATGCGCGGTTCATAATGAAAATTTGCTTGAAGGAGTTTAGAGGAGAATAAAGGGTCAGGACTCCCTTCCTTATGCAACCTGCCTAACAAGTCTGAATCTCTTTGTCTTGAGTTATAGGCAGCTGCGCAAGGATCTCTTGCAAGCACTCCGCATTATGAAGGAACCGGACCATAGCCTGTCCTTTGAGGACTCTTTTTATTTGTTCCCATGACCACCCTCCAAAATCACCCGCCAAAACTGCGCATTCGGCAGGCAAAGCTGGATGTGAGGAAGTCCTCCCACTCTCTCAGAGTGGTCAAACCATGTAAAGCCCTCCATGCAGATGTCACCATCTATAGAAAGACTTAAAATGAATCCTAACATACCTATGTTTCACAATTAACGAGACCGATGAGATATCGAGCTCATTCCCTGAGAGCCACACACAATTTTTCATATTATCATGGACCGGTTCGAATTATTTTCGTCCAGACAGTTTCCCTATATACGGCAATCGGTTTTACGTTGCAAACAGGGTACTGAAAGACTCACGTCTAATTCCTTCAATAAAATGAAATGAAAATAGGAGGCCGAACATAGCCCAATTGGCGTGACGCGAGCCTGAAGCTGGGCCCACCGTCACATCCCAATGTTGATGTTTCTTACGGGTACTCATCCCTGATAACGCCTGCCGGACTCCGATCTGGCCTCCGTGTTGATCCAGCGCGGCCCGCCTAAGGGCAAACATGCATGATTACGTATGTATGCAGGTGAATGCTAGTCCCAAGTCGCCAATGCTCCAAGCCACGGCTTTTAGAGAGCTATGATAGCTTGAACAACGTCAAATTGCTCATAATGAGTAAACTGCGCCGAGTTGTTGACCTATCATTATGAAGATCAAATTTCGAGTTCCGGGTGTATGCATAAGTGAGGAAGAATAGGAGGCAGACACCGGGACATTTTGTCTATTGTCCTGAACTTTCAGACTCGTGCAGGAGTCCATCCCCAGAGGTAGTAGCGGAACCAGAACAAGCGAACGTTATAGGGCGTGAAGGCCAATCAATGGCCGACGGTGCAAGACTGGGAGTGACTACTCGGGGCTCCGTGCGCCGGCGCAAGATCTATAAATCGATTGACCGAGTTCTCATCCAAGGCCCAAGGCTCTATCAATTCTTGGCCTGCTTTGTTTCCGGTGCGGACGACTATTTTGGTGGCTGCGAAGTTAAACTCGTGACCCATTTCGTAAATGTGGGCGGCCACTTGTGATAATGCGTCGCCTCGTCGCACAGCCAGCTTATGTTCGTGTATGCGCGATACGAGCATGCGCTCAGTCGGTCTTGTGTAGTTACCAGGACAATTTTGACACGGAATGCGATACACTACTCCAGATTGCTCTATAGGCTTTAACCGGTCTTTGAGTTTCCTGACCCTATTGCGCATGATGGCTTTGGGGTGGTGTGCAGTTCCAACACCTAACTCCGCAACAATGCGTTCGGTCGCTTCTGAATCGTCTTTGATGTATGGCAGAGAATATCATGTCGTCGGTGGCATTGATGTACGAGTTATTTGGTGGCGACCGCGTAGGCAGCGACTAGTGAATGCCCTCGGATAGCCATTTTGCATAAACTGGTCGCGGAGATAACGGGCCTCACGTGCTCTGTCCTCCGGTTTGCTGCAATGAGTTTGAATCCGTTTGAAGAGCGTCTTCACACAGTTTCGTTTGTGAGCCACCGGATGAGTATTATGAAAACTGAGAAGCTGTGTGGTGTCCGTTGCCCTCCTACAATCATTCGTTTCAAGTTCACTGTTGGGGTTTTGTCTGACAAACAACTACTGTGCCTGTTCTTCTTCCCTCGAGAATTTGATATCAGGGAAGACTGCGTTCAGCAGGCTGTAGACATGTTGCAGCATGTCCTTCCTTACGACGACAAACGTGTCGTTTACCTAAAGGCACCAAAATACTGGCTCACGTTGGATGAAGGTAATGGAAGACGATGGACTCCCGCACGTGTCTGAAAGCTCAGGACAAAATACAAAGTGATCCGGTGCTCGAGTCCTCTTCTTCACCTATCTCTATATTCCCACTTTCCGGTCCCAGTCACTGTCCAAGCCGGTCAGTCGTTTGGTATACGAAATGGACGTAGTGGTTGACAGAGCTAAATGGCTCCTCTGCGTTCGCCACATGGACGACCTGGACCCTGAAGAGTACACGCCGGGATTTCACTCACAAGGGGAATATAAAATTCTGATCTCGCGTGCAACAGGGTAGCCAAACGGTGAAAAGAGCCGAAAAGCACACTTATTACTCACGTTAGTGGTGCCGGCGATGTAAGATTTCGGATAGGTGTATGTGTAATGCATACGTTGATGGGGGATTATGATGGAATTTTTTCGTATCTACGGCTATTAAGCGCGGCTTTTAATGGAGTTTTGCGCAGTCGAATAGGCTAATGCGCTGACTAAATGTCAGTGGGCATTGAAGGCAGTTGTGGCGATTGTGTCGATTGCATGTGGGTGCTCCAGGGGCTGGTCCACCGACCTCTGCACGATGGCTTCACAAGTGGCCGATAAGGTCAATATGAGAGCCAAATGTATGGGGACAGTGCGGTCAGCATAGGTTGGCAGCGTCAGAGCCCGTTCCAGTGATGCTGATGGTGGTGGTGGTGGTGGTGGTAGTGGTGATGGTAGTAGTGGCGGCGGCGGTGGTGGTGGGCGCATTGGGCAGTAAGGTGTTGATTGAGCTTAAAATTGTGGATGTACAGCGTGTGCAAGCTGTGCCGACAACGCGGTGAATTCCGCTGTCATATATACGCATATGACCGAGTAAACCCCTGTGGTGAGTAAATGGGCGTAGGTAATGTGGACAGTGGAGGCGGATGCGGCGAGATTTTATGAGTTTTCTGGGCAGTGGTTCGCCCGACTCCCTGCGATGGATTCCCAAATGATCAAAGAGGTCGATGTGCGATGACAATGAGCACAGTTTGGGGTCGAATCCACATTGCCGGAGGTAACAGCGTTGGCGACAATGGCAGTAGATGATGGAACTTCGAGTGTCATCTCATCGGTTGAGGGAATGCAAAAGGCCGTAGTGTTGAGGAAACTGGTCGTTGCGTTCGACGAAAAGGTTGAGACAGCGGAGATAATGCTGATGGTCGTTGGCGACGACACACCAGCAGTGTGATAACTAGTGCGGCCTGTCGTCGTCATGGGATATGAGGGAGGGGTGACAGTACGGCTGTTTGCGGAAGGAGAAGCTGACGTTGCCGGACTATTGTTGCATTGCTTTCCGAGATGTTCAAAAAGGCCACTTCGATTACGTAGAGTATGCGTTGGCAGCGCGGACATGCTGGATGCGGCTGACCGTTGGCTCTGTAAAGCCGACGATTTTAGGAGTTAAGACCCCCCCTTTT